TTCTATTGTTTATGCACATATGTTTTCAAAGTAATTATACCACATTTAAAAGTAAGATTGTTTTGGCTTTTTATTATTAGAGTTACAATCAAACATATTTTCAGAAGTTTGTATTTAATCTGTATAAGAAACAGTCATATTAAGCAGCATGCAAATTACACATTTATTGAGAAAATGACGTATTTTTATTGGAAGATCATGAGGGAGGAAACTATATGGTTCTCCAAAAGAGAAAAATAAACAAAAACTCCATATTATGGAGTTGACAAGGTGCTGACGGTGGTAACACACTAGTAGAAAACAAGATATTATTTCTTTCAAAATGACAATTAAACCTTAACAACCTTTGTAATATCACAAGACACATCATAACAATTCTGTTTTTGCACATGTCAAGTTCTACATCTGTATGTGACTACATTTTCCTACAGGATTAATAATGTATGCATAAACAATGAGATTCAAGATAAGGCAAATTTGATAATATTTGACACATCTGTGAAGCAGAAATATCAGTAAAATACACAAGAAGTAATATGACTGAAATATTAGTAAAAAATAACTTAATATAAATGGTGAATAGCACGCTTTTGTGACATTTGTCAACACCATTAGAAAAAGGGTCAACGCCGTCAGACAAAACTCCTGATGGTGTTGACATCTGATGGTGTTGACAAAATACCCTACTTTCTCTCATAACACATGTTTCTCCGACAGAAGCCATCTTGTTTTTCATCATTTGCTTATGGCCTCTACAATCTACCTAAATGAGGCTGTTTTTACAAGACAAAATAATGAAATCTTGGATTACATCGACTTTGGTGTTGACGCACTATGGTTGTGACACAGAGTTTTATCAGAAAGGTGTGCAATAAATGAAATAAAAACAAACAAATTATCACAGCAGTGACCTCATGGCATGTGTACCAAACAGGAAGTGGTAAAAGGGTCCTCAGAGTGTAAGCTACCCACAATAATTCCTGATTTTTTTGTACTTTTAAAAAAATCTGACAGTGTTGAAAAAAACTCTGGACACGATTTTAATCACTTAAAAAATATTTTAAAATAAATTTTCAATTGCATATTTTGATATTATATAAGGTATTGACTTAAATACTTAGTGACGAGAGCCATGATGTTTAATTTTACATTACTTTTAATTTTTTTTCTGTATTTTAATATTATCACACCTGCTTCTGACAATGGATTTTTAAGGTACTGGTAATGTATTGTACCATTTAAAATAAATATATATTTATAAAAAATGCAAAATCATAGTTTTGTTGTATAAACATTGCCTTGGTTTGTCTTTTAGGCAGTTGGGTTAACACTTGTATGCATATTTTTAACCACAAAATTGGGTTTTATCTGCCGGACATGTATTGTCCCTTATCTCAAGAATCACTGATGCTTTTATTGTGGTAGCAACGCTTCCGGTCATTCTGAGCGTCCATTGATGGAACGCTCACTTTGCGGGGTTTCTATCGGTCACCAGCAGCTGATATTTCACAATAAGAGAGTTTCCGCTGTGATTCATGTGAAATGAGAACACTGAAGACGCAAAGTACTAGATCTTTATTTATTTAGTGATCTTTAACCTGACATACACATTGCTTACTCCATTTTGTAGTTTCTTTATTTTGTTATCTTGTTTGTTTGTTTTTTAAGTCTGGAACTGTGTAAATGTATTCACTGATTAGAGCTCATTGATTGCTGAAAAAAATATATTGTTACTAAGTTGATGTTAGTTTTACTGATCCAGCCTGCACTGAAGTACCTAAGGGGTATTTAGAATTTTGATTCATTACACGTTATTGTGGTTTGCCCTTTTAATGTATTTTAAGTTGCTTGCCCATTTTACTTGGTATTTATTTTTGTTTTACTACATTTTACACTAACTAGTGATAAGGTGGTGATCCATTGAGGGTATCTGGCCTCTCTGGGAGAGATGAGGAGGAAGGTAGGGGGTTGGTCATATTGGAGAAACTCAGAGCAGAACTGCTAGTCCTCGACAACAAAGGGAGCCAGCTGAGGTGGTCCAAGGACCTGAATAGACACATTAAATTGATGGATGACTCACTGGTAGGGCATACTCAGAAAATAAAATGAATCTCAGACAATAAAAGAAATCCTGATATTCTCAAGCAGGAGTCTAGATGTCTTTAGATAATTCAGGAAGATGTTTATTTTTAACTTTATGGTTTCTATTAATCAAAAATGAAACTCAACTTATCAAGATTCTGCTGATGCACTGTTGTCAGCAAAAACTGACAACTTTTACAATGCAATCACAGCATTGTAGGATGGTGAAAGATATACTCTTTCTCAATTCCTGTGAGTACATCTTTGACCATCTTATGATGCTGTGATTCCCCAACTCTCTGTGAATGGTACTTAAATGTTTGCAAATGTATTGTTTATAAGTTTGGGCGAGACTGAAGAAGTTACCTGGATGACACATTTCTCCCACAGAATCAACTTTTTGTGATTTGATTTTCTTACCTGGATGATTAACAATGAATCAGAATGTTCCAAATACTAAACCACAAACTAGTAAAATGCTCACACAAACTATATGACTTTTAGTAGGTGAGAGTGGAGCCATTTCATTGGTGTTTGTACAGTGACATCACAGCTTGATTGCTGACCCAGAGACCCGGCTCCAGATGATCACACAGCTGGATACGTGCGATATAATCATGGGAATGCATCTGAGCTGTTGTGACACAGAAACACAATCCCTTCAACAGTCACCCTAAAAATCTTCTGCCGTATACACTCAGTGTTCACACAGACCTGTCACAGAGAAAGAGCTGCTAGAGTTATTATTTTTGAAAAATCTCTTTAATGTCCAGAGAATTTAAAAAACTTTAGCATCTGTTAGGTATTTGGCACTAATATTCACTGATATGATGATGTACAGACTTTACTGACTTTAATAAAAGTGGACATTGTTCCATTATGAAGCAGAATCCCAAAAAATAAAACAGCACATCATCAGCATATAGTGATATTCTCTATTTGGTTAATAAAGTTGACAGTATCAATGTCAAATATCAACCGCCTGCACTGGGGATCCCTATCCACTACTCATACATCATATCATTCTAATACAGTTTTTTTGTCATCTTTTTTTAAGTAATATGACCAAAATTGATCAAAATCTCATCACGTTGTGTTCAGTAAGGCTTGAAACTACAGACTACTACTACAGGCCATGAACCCATCAAGAAAGTGTTCAGTGGGGTCACAGATCAAGTGAGTGAGAGAGTCATTTTCTCATGTATTTCTTTGCTTAGCACTTTTTATTTTTATTTAAGTGTTTGTCTTATC